AGGGCATTATAATTAAAATAACTTTGCACATTGTAGGGAGTACCTATAGGGTTAAGCTTCGGATTGACCTGTGGCAGAGCCACAAACAAGTCCCAGCTTGGAGGGCACAGCCCTCTTACCATAATTAAGCTTGACCTTATGACGCTCCCTAGATTGTTCCTAGGTAGCTAATGGGCTGTGGGAGATGTAGCAAGTGCTGCCTAAACAAGTGAAACTCACAAGAACATTGTAACTATGGTGACCACTACCTTGTGTATCTCTGACTATAAAATTAAGCCTCAGCTTGCCAGCTGGATCTCTTTCTGTGTCCTCATCCAGGTACGGGAGTTCCACCGAGCCCCAGCTATATTCTCTTTGTCTGTCTTTTCTTTAATCCTTCACCACCCCTCCTCAGGCTCACGGAACCCTTGGCTGTGCTGGCATGGTACAGCACATGTTGTGTTTCTGGTCTTTAGTCTGTGACCAAAAAAATCACCCCTCATTCTAGCTGAAATTTGATTATATGATTAGCTTTCTGTTGAAGCAGTTTCTTTTTAAACCATTTAAACTATTAATTTTGTAGTGACCTTAACCTAATGGCTATGGGTGTGCATATGTGTGTGTGGGAGAGAGAGAAAGTGGTGGTCAGGGGCAGAATACAGAAGGTGAACAGGTGGCAGAATAAAGAGGTTTAGTCATTCAGGATTCCACTCAGTATTAACTGTTTATGGTCTGTATTACATGCACTTTTTCATTTCTCTGGGGTAATCCAAACATTCGTCTAATTCCCTTTCATGCCAAATGGAAAGGAGCTTTCCTGTATCTAAAGTATGCATATGCCCTTATAAGTAAGAAGTCAGCAAGCCTAAGTAGCCATAAAGTTGGTGTCTCAGACTACAGACTAGAGGAATTTTCTAATCAAAGGAACCTATAGGTCCTTATGGGTCACAAAGCATTAAAATGTGGCACAGAAGTCAGAAAAATGATCGCAGACTTGCTAATTTTTTCATTACTTGAATAGTGGAATAAACTTCTACTACTTATTATCCCTTAAAAACATTTTTCAAGTTTGATAATCACAATTTTGGTTAATACTCTTATATCTTGTTTTATATTCAATTATAGGCATTAGTTAATTCCCATCATTTTATGATAGGATAGCATCATGACATATTTTTTTTAAGGGAAAAAAAACCTGAGGCAGAAAAAAGTATAAAGACCCATTAGGAAGTGATATCTTATTTCATCCCTGATGGCTAAGCAAATGCTTGGGTCATAAAATATCATATCTGCCTAAAATGAGATGCAATACTTTACAAAGTCAGACAGTTTATTTTTATTTTATATAGAACATATTTCCTTTTGAATATAATCTCACAGTTGAGGTCATTTTTAAAAGTTTAATATGAAAACATTTCTACTCTACCAATCCCTTTTCATACTTTGCTGGATAACAACAGACTTCTTGCCTGAATAAATAACATACCTGGCCTGTTCTGCCTCATCAAGAAAATATTCGAAGACGTTATTCATTATAATAACATCAGCATTTTGCAGAAGTGAATCCTGGGTACAGATGTCTGCATGAAGCACCTAAATAAGAAAGAGTTCATTTAAGAGAACAAACATACCACATCATACGATCACAGAACTACATACTGGGTCAATAATGTTGTGAGGTAATATGTGAAGTTCACCCTAATTCTTAAAATGGAGAAAGTATCTAATAAAAACAATAAACTTGTGAAAATTTGTTTGTTTATATGTAATTATTTATAAATTCATAAGTATGCTCTTTTGACTCCCAGTTCAGAGCTTTTTTCCACTACAGTAGTACCCCCTTACCCGTGGTTTTGCTTTCCACAGGGTCAGTTACCCATGGTCAACCATGGTCTGAAAATGTTAAATGGAAAATCCAAGTAATATATCATTCATAGTAAGTTTTAAATTGTGTGAACTGTTGTACGTAGCATGGTGAAATCTCACACTGTCCTACTCCATCCTGCCCGGACATGAATTATCACTCTGTCTAGCATATCCACACTGCATATGCTACCCACCCTCTGGTCACTGAGTAGCCGTCTTGGTTATCAGATCAACTGTTGGAGAATCACAGTGCTTGTGTTCAAGTAACCCCTTATTTTACTTAATAATGGCCCCAGCTTTGCGCAGTGGCAGTATTGTAACCAATGAGTTTTATCCGAGGCACGATTATTGCTAATTGAAAGAAAAAATAATGGCCCCAAAGTGCAAGAGTAGTCATGCTAGCAATTCAGATATGACAACAAGAAGCCAGAAAGTGTTTCCTCTAAGTGAAAAGGTGAAAGTTCTCAACTTAATAAGGAAAGAAAAAACTTGTATGTTGAGGTTGCTAAGATCTATGGTAAAAACAAATCTATGAAATTGTGAAGAAGAAAAACAAATTCATGCTAGTTTTGCATTGCATCTCAAACTGCAAAAGGTATGGCCACAGTGCATGTTGGGTGGTTAGTTAATATAGAAAAGTCATTACATTTGTGGGTAGTAGACATAACAGAAAATGTGTTCCTATTGACAGCACTGTGTTGCGCCAGAAAGCATTGAGCCTATACAAAGACTTCAGTAAGTGATCCCCTGAAACAAGTGACACCAAACTATTTACTGCAAGTAACGGATGGTTTGGACTGAAAAATATCAAAATTACTGGAGAGATGCCATTCACATAACTTTTACTAAAATATAATTGTTCTATTTTATTATTAGTTACTAGAGGCCCAGTGCACAAAATTCGTGCATGGGTGCAGTCCCTAGGCCTGGCCGGTGACTAAAGAACAGGTGTCTGGCATGGAAGGGCAGGTCCCAGCTGACCTCTGGGCCCTGGGCAGCACCAAGGCCTCTGCTTGCACCCACCTTGGCCTGGCGCCACCTGCTCACCTGCTCCACCATCCCACCATGGTCCCGCTCTCATCGGGGCCCATCTGGGCTGGCAGCGCCTCCACTGCTGCCCGCTGCCAGCGCTGCATCGCCAATGCCCACCATGTTCCGCACCGCGCCCTGGTGGTCAGCGCACATCATAGTGACTGGTTGAACTCCTGGTCTCCAGGTCGAACGACCGCCCCAGGGGACAATGTGCATATTAGGCTTTTATTATATAGGACTGTTGTGAGTTCTTGTGCCTAATTTATAAGTTAAACTTTATCATAGGTATGTATGCACAGGAAAAAAACAGTATATATAGAGTTTGGTATTATCAAAGTTTCAGGGCCCTAACCGGTTTGGCTCAGTGGATAGAGCATCGGCCTGCGGACTCAAGGGTCCCAGGTTCGATTCCAGTCAAGGGCATGTACCTTGGTTGCGGGCACAACCACAGTGGGGAGTGTGCAGGAGGCAAGTGATTGATGTATCTCTCTCATCGATATTTCTAACTCTCTATCCCTCTCCCTTATTCCCTGTAAAAAATAAAATATATTAAAAAACAAAAAGTTTCAGGCATCCACTGAGGGTCTTGGAACGTATGCCACACAGACAAGGGGAGACTATATCAGTGGTTGTAAGAGTCATCAAACTCTTGCTCCATCATCAATGAGGTTTGTACACTTAGGTAGTCAGGGTCCTCATAAATAAAATAGAATAATATCTGTCCTGACTCATAGATCAAATGGGACCATAGAAACTATAAAAGTAATTTATAAATTATAAAGCGTTAATACACTATGTTAATTGGCCTTGTCTGGCTCTTCATCTAAAATATACTAGAATATATTATCTGTCCAAAAAAAGCAAACAAAACTATTTAAAACTATATACCTCAAAAGTTAACTCAGACCACAATCATCAAGTCTTACAGACTACAGGCAATATAACAAGAAGAAACATTTATTTGCTCAAGAGCAAAGCAAACAACTTTTATTTTAATCATTCTTTTTTTTCATTTTTTATTTTTTAATTATCATCCATGGATATGTGTTTTTTTTTATTTTAGAAAGAGAGGAATAGGGAGAGAGAGAGAGAGAAACATCGATCTGGGAATTGAACCACAACCTAGGTATATGCCCGGACCAGAAGTGAACCCATAACCTTTTGGTGCATGGGACAACGCTCCAACTAACTGAATCACCTGGCTTGGGCAAACAACTTTTATTTTAAAAAGAGAAAAGATTTAACTACTTTGTATCACATGATTTCTTTCCAAATAAACATGGTCTTACAAATATATAATATTCAAAATGTTGTGGGGACTGATTTTAAAAAAATACTTTCTTTTTTTAATTAATAAAAATACTAAAATAATTTAAATAAAGATGGTCTAGAATCTCTGAAGCATAGGTTTGACATGTTCCTGAACACAGAAAAAAGTTAATCACTTTAAACTTCCTAAATATGTAGCTTAGATATAAAACAGGTATGTAAATTAACCTACTGATACAACATAGCTTTCACACAATTTCCTCTTTTTCTTTCCCATCTCTGTTCACTCCCCCCACCCCCACCCCACAGGGAAGTTAAAAAAGAATCAGGTGGACCAATTAATTATGGCAACTGACATAAGTGCTTGCTCTAGAGCAGCGGTTCTCAACCTGTGGGTCACCAACCTGTGGGTCGCGACCCCTTTGGGGGTCGAATGACCCTTTCACAGGGGTCGCCTAAGACCATCGGAAAACACATATATAATTACAGATTGTTTTTGTGATTAATCACTATGCTTTAATTATGTTCAATTTGTAACAATGAAATTGGGGGTCACCACAACATGAACTGTATTAAAGAGTCGCGGCATTAGGAAGATTGAGAACCACTGCTGTAGAGGCTCCAGGGAAATCCCAAGGAATGGTTCTGAACAAAATGAATGCTAACAACGTGGAGACCAAAAGGCAACTAAGATCAATTTAACCAGTTTCTAATGGCCATCTCTTATGTACTAGATACTGTGTAGGGAAATAGACCATGATGAATGAGATATCTACAATATCTACTCTCAAATACGCTATAATTTAGTAATGGGATGAAACAGCTATGCTGATAACTCTATAAAAAATGTCATAAAAAAACAAAAAAGCAGCATATGGCCCAGCCGGCATGGCTGTCAGTGGTTGAGTGTTGACCTATGAACCAGGAGGTCACGGTTTGATTCCTGGTCAGGGCACATGCCCGGGTTGTGGGCTTGATCTCCAGTGTGGGGTGTGCAGGAGGCAGCTGATCAATGATTCTTTCTCATCATTGATGTTTCTATCTCTTTCCCCTTCTCCCTTCCTCTCTGAAATCAATAAAAAAAAAATCAATAAAAATCAATCAAAAAAATATATATATGCATTTTTTAAAAACCTATGAGGTTAACCAAAGGCGTCGGCAGCAAGCAGCAAAGCGCAGAACATGGTGGGCTCGGCTGCAGTGGGATGGTGGAGCAGGTGAGCGGCGGCGCCAGATCAAGATGGGGCGCCGGTCGCTGTCATCGGGGTGAGCCTCTGGTAGTTACTGAAAATTTTTTGCCCCTGCGCGCCACGGTCCCGCCCGGTGCTTGCAACTGCGGCTGGCGCTAGCCCCGCTCGAACCCGCCGCCGGTGCTGGAGCTGCCGTTCACACCTGCTGCCGGTGCCCCGTGCCAGACCTGATCGCCCCTCAAGGCTTTTCCACCTCCTCCTGCTCCTGAGGGACAATTGGGGCAGCAGCTGCCTTTCACACCCGCTGCTGGCAAAGGGCCCGCTCGCATCCACTGCCGGTGCCCAGCGCCGGTCCTGACCGCTTGGCACTGTTAGTGGGTGTGAGCGGTAGCTGCCAGCCCTCATCACCCCTGAGGGCTTTTCTACCTCCCCCTGCTCTTGAGGGGCAATCTGTGCAGTAGCCGTTGCTTGCACCTGCTGACGGTGCTGGCCCCACTTGCACTTGCTGCTGCACTGGCCCCAATCGCTCCGTGCCATCAGCGGGTGCGAGCGGGGCCAGCGCCGTCAGCGCATGGGATCAGAGGCGGCAGCGGGAGTGGGGGTGCCAGCAGACAGCGGACTGGGGGCCGTTGCAGGAGGGGCCGGGCGGGGCGTGGAGGATGGGCCAAGACCCGCCCCTGTGCCCACCGCAGCCTCGTGGCCCACAGTTCCTTTTAAGGTGCACGAATTTGTGCA